GTTTAGATCCTCAGCACCTTAACCAAAATATACTGAGAGAACATTATCACATACCAACCTTTGAAGAAATTTCATCTCAAATGACAAATGCAAAGGTCTTTAGTAATTTAAATGCAAACAAAGCATTTTGACAAATTAAACTGTCAGATTCAAGTTGTGAATTTACTACATTTAATACTCTGTTTGGTAGATATTGTTTTTTGAGGTTGCCATATGGGCTGAGTTCATCACCAGAAGTTTTCCACAGAAGTTTTTCTGAAATTTTTAGTGATTTAGAAGGAGTTCAAATATATATAGATAACTTATTAGTTTGGGGTAAAGATAAATTCAAATAATGATTCAAGATTAAAGAAGTTGTTGGACAGAGCCAGAGAAAAGAATGTTAAATTTAATTTAAATAAATGTAAATTTGGGCTGAATGAAGTGAAATATATGGGACATATATTTTCTAAAAATGGTTTAAAACCAGATGAAGATAAAATTAAGGCTATTCTAGATATAAAACCACCAAAAAAATGTGAAAGAATTAGAAAACTTTCCTAGGGAATGATTACATATGTTTCTAGATTTATACCTAATGTATCAGAATTGACATCATGTTTAAGAGATTTGTTGAAAAAACAAGTTGTTATCTGGAACTGGAATGCCAACACATGAAAAAGCATTTAGAAGACTAAAAGATGTCTTAGTAAATAACCAGTTTTACAGTATTATGATATAAAGAGCCAGTAGTAGTTTTATCTGTAGATGCATCTCAAAGAAGGACTAGGAGCAGTCTTTACTGCAGAATAATTTACCAGTGGCATATGCATCTAAGGCATTAACAGATACACAGAAGAATTATGCTCAAATTGAAAAGGAAACTTTAGCTATTGTATTTGCCTGTGAGAAATTCCACCAGTATATATTTGGAAAAAATATTACTGTGGAAAGTGATCATAAACCAGTGGAATCAATTTTCAAAAAGGCATTAAATAAATGCCCTGTAAGACTACAAAGAATGCGTATAAGATTACAGCCATTATCAGTTTGAGATAAAATATAAACCAGGAAAAGAACTATATAATCTAGATGCATTATCAAGATCATTCACTAATGAAGGATCTGATTTCTTTGAAGGAGATATAGAAACTCATGTGGAACTGGTTGTAGAATGTATACCAATGCCTAATGGTAAAATGGAAGTTTTTCAACTGGAAACAGAAAAAGATGAAGAACTACAAGTTTTAAGAAAATTAATTAAAACTGGATGGCCAGATGAAAACTGTATGGTTCCAGAACTGGCAAAACCATATTTTAACTTCAGAGAAAAACTATCAGAAGCAAATGGATTAATATTTAAAAATTCTGTGTTGTTGTACCAGAAGTTTACGGAAAGATATGTTAAGCAGAATTCATTATGGTTATTTAGGAGTAGTAAAATGCAAGATCAAAGCAAGAGAAATATTATATTGGCCAGGAATGTCGAAAGAAATTGAAGATTTGGTACTGAATTGTCAAACATGTTTAAGTTTACAAAAAGCTAATACTAAAGAACCAATGATATCTAAAGAAATACCTAATGGTGCATGGGAAGTATTGGGAACAGATATCTTTTACTTTCAAGGAAGGGATTATCTAATAGTTATAGATTATTTTAGCAAATATGTTGAAATTGGACATTTGGAAGATTTGTCAAGTGTAGCAGTGATAAAGCAATTGAAATCACTTTTTGCAAGACATGGTATTCCGAAAATGGTATATTCGGATAATGGTCCACAATATAATTGTAGAAAATTTAAAGATTTTGTAAGAAGATGGAATTTTGAAACAGAACTTCAAGTCCAAATTATCCACAATCTAATGGAACTAGACCAGAACTTCAAGTCCAAATTATCCACAATCTAATGGAATAGTTGAAAGACATATTCAAACTGTCAAGCAAATGTTAGAAAAAGCTGTAGTTGACAACAAGGATCCATATTTAGTATTACTGGAATATCATAACTCTCCTATTTCAGATGAAGTTAAGTCGCCTTCAGAATTGATGTTTGGAAGTTAAGTAAATGGATTGATGCCTATAAAAGAGAATTTCGTCCAAGCTAAACGATTATGAAGACCATAAACAACATTTACTGAAAGAGACAAACCTTACAAAAAAAGTTATTATGATAGGAATGCAAGACCGTTAAAACCACTGAAAACAGGAGATCATGTTTGCATAAAAGAGAAAGGGACAAAATTAAATGAAAGAGGGAAAATTATAGAAGAAGCAGAAAGACCACGTTCATATAGGATTATAAGAACAGGTGTAAGAATTGTAGATAGGAACAGCAGAGACCTTCTTAAAGGAACTAATCAGGAAGAGTTTGCAATACAAAACAACTATGAGAATGAAGTTATAGATGAACTCGAGATAATGAAAATAGTAGGAGCACTACAAATTTAGATGTGCCTGTAAGTCCTTCAAAATCTAACAGAAGTGTTGTGTCACCCAAATAGTGAAAGAGGTATAGTATTCATCAAATTTTCAAAATGGACATAACTACGTCACTCGATCTGGTAGGACTGTTAAGAAACCTCATTATTTAAAAGAATATGATTAATTTTACTACTATTATTATTTTTGATAAAAAAGGGAGATGTTATATATGTAACTGTAACTGTATCTATTATCTTTAATCATAACTGTAATAATGTAGAATAAACAATGTTTGTGTACATCTTGTAATCATCACTGAGCACGTACCCAACACATATAAAATACAACACACTGAGTGTATGTTATTATGTTATTTGTTGTATTGCAATTACGTATTGTGTTGATATTGTGTTTTAACAAAAAAAATTGTAAACTTTAATTTATAAAAATATCAATTAAAGTTTATCTGGAGGGGGAGAGGTTGTAATATTTTATTATTTAACAAATAATTACATTTATTATCCTTTAATATGGGAGTGGCAACATCATATTTATATCATGGAAACAGTTGCTCAGCAATGTTAGAAATTGTTTAAAATTACATTTCTGAAAGTTTTACCAGCTGGTAGTTGTATGAAAAATTTATAGAGAAAGAAATTGTAATAGTAAGCTGGAGTGTGAAGCTGTAATGGATAGAATTGAATTCAAATTATCTACACTCATGTCCATAAATTAAGGATAATTCAGAGTCACGCGGAAATCGAACTCTAAAATAAATATATCACCTGTAAAATCACTACACACATCTTTAAGAATCATATGCAAATTTCAGGAAGTAACCAGATGACACCGATGGTACGTCACAATCACGAGAGTGTAAGAGAGTGATATATAAGGAATACAGGCAAAGAAGTAAAATTGTTCGCAGGCACTTTATAAGCATTTCAGTGCAATAACCAAAAAGTTATGACACAAAGGACGCATTTGGATGATTTTTAACGTGGTAGAAGAATTCGGCCATCTGGAATGTGGGCGTACCCAATTGGAAGTATCAGACGAACTTGGAATTGGCCAGAGTGTCATCTCCAGGCTTTGGCAACGATTCCAAGATGATGGTAATGTGAGTAGACATTACAGCACACGTCGCCCCTGTGCACAACACTGTGCAACTGTGTGAGTTACAACGCCGAATGAGGACTGGTTTTTGGCAGTTACTGCCAAAAGAAACAGGCGGAGCACAGCCTTAGACCTGTCTCGTCAGCCACTGGTACGACAATTTCAAGGCAGACCGTGTACAGACACTTAGGGCAGATTGGTCTATATGCTCGTAGACCTGTCAGATGCGTTCCACTTACTGCAACTCACTGTCGCCTGCCGTGCAGTAGCCTGGAGTAGAGAGCATGCATTGTGGACACCGCAACAGTGAGCTTGTGTGATTTTCCGACGAGTCCAGGTTTAGTGTGCAGTCTGATTCTCCCGGACTTTCATATGGAAGAGCTCCGGGTACCTGTTACCACCAAGAAAACATCATTGAACGACACCGTTACGGTGTGGTGCAGGAGTGCTCGTTTGGGATGGAATTATTCTGGGTTCCAGAACTGACCTGCATGTTCAAATTGGAACCATAACCATGAAAAGCCAAATCTATCGGAACGTCATTCTGGAACAACATATACGTTTGTTTTGGGGCGCCGTGGGTGCACAATTTGTGTTTATGGATGACAATGCCCGTTCTCACCATCCAAACATCGTAAGTGAATGCCTTCAATCGGAGGATATCACCCGTATGGACTGGCCAGCATTCTCACCGGACTTGAATCCAGTAGAGCACGTGTGGGACAAGGTTGGCCGACGAGTTGCAGCCCGTCAACCTCCTCCTACATGTCTACCGGAACTTCGGAGAGCAATGCTTTTTGAGTGGTGTAATATCCCCCAAGATCAGATCAATAATTTGATATTCAGCATGCCTAGGTGTTGTAAGGACTGTATTGCATCGTCTGGAAGACATACAATGTATTAACAATCATACCAATCATGTAATATTGGTTTTTTGTAATTTGCTCCAGGGAGACAAAATCACTAATTTTTTTTTAATAATATCAAACATATAGCATTTTTTTTTGCTCTTTACCTTTTGTTAATAAACAAGGTTTTTAAATAAGTCAAATTTATTTTGCTTCTAACTCTTCCTTTGCCTGATTTTGCATTATACTTAATTTATGGACATGAGTGTATATTTGTGAATTGAGAATAAAATTTTATGTTTTACAAAAAAGTTCATCTGTTATTTTGATAAAAACTGCAAAATACATTACAATATAAATAAATTCACAATAATTTAAAAAAAATCATGTTCAGATAAGCTTTATCACAAACCCTTTTTAAAGAGTCATTTTTTAAAAATAAAATACTTTTCTAGGAGTGCATAAAAACTTGTGAAATGTAAGATTTCTTTGAACAATTACAGCAGTTATCAAAGGCAACGTATAACATTTCAAGATGCAAAAATATGTTTTATTCATACAGAATTGATTGCCACATGAATGTACTCTTTGTAAGGAAAACAAAGAGAAGTAGCATCAGAATTTGTTTAACTTACTGTATATTGAGCTCGCCAAACTGGGCAAGGAACTTGCAAACTATAATCCATTTTCTGTGGAATAGTAACATCCCAAAACTGCAAATTAAACAGATATATTCATTTAAATTTATCAAAAATAATTTAAATCAAGTTTTAGATGAAAATAAATTCTATAACTTTTGTAAAATGTGACAACTATGAACTAACTTTAACTGTACAATCTTGACTAGATGTTGCAAGCACATTTTCATCATGCGGGCACCAATCAATATTATGGATTTTTAGCAAATGAGCAGTTATATACTGTACAGGACTTGTTCCTTTCTGTGAAAAAGAAATTCCTTAAGCTATAAATGCAATTTTAGCCTAAAGAAATGTTAAAAAAGTAATTGTAAAGGAATTTTGACTTATTTTAAATATGTTGACTCAGTTTAAACGTGAAATTTCTTTGATGTATTTTAATACATATTCTCTATTTATGAAATTTCTTTGATGTATTTTAATACATCAAAGAAATTTTACGTTTAAACTGAGTCAATATATTTAAAATAAGTCAAAATTCCTTTACAATTTAATGTTGTATTTAAAATTTTATAATCCAGCATTATAGATTATTACCCTAGTATCCCACAGTCTGATATCTCCTTCATGTGACGTTGCAAGCATATGAGATTGCAATTTATTCCATTTCACTTGAGAAGCACCCGCTTTATTGAGAAGATATTAAAAATCATCATTAAAAAAGAAAATTGCGCACTTTAATAGATTTAAATAAACTGAATTTTAGCTGAATTAGCAATTTCAAATGAGGAAATACAAATGATACTCACCAACAGCTGAAAGAGAAATGGATGGTTTTCTTGAGTCTCTATAAAAATTATTCATAACTATAAGGCTATTTATTTTCTTAGCAAGTTAAAAAGATTATTTTACATATTACAAAGTTTTATCAAATTTTTCTAGCAAATAATTTTTTGTTCTCATATTAAGGGGGGGGGGGGAATTAGATAAATAAATGATACAATGATACTTGTCAGTTAACAATTAACTCCTGACACAATACAATGTGTTGGAGCCTTTTGAAATGAATTCTGATCTTTATGTGATTGGTTTATGATGGGATTGTCTGGGCAACTGTATTCAAAATATCATCAAATATATTGCTAATAAGTGATGACAAGCTATATCACAATGTTTTTTTATTCCTTCATTTTGCTGATCCCCACACATGCTTCGTTGTTTGGATGCAGACAACTGAGCACTTTCTGTGCATCAAAGTTGAGACTGAAAAAAAAAAAAACGGAAGCCATTGCTATCCTCAATTAGCCTCCTGCAAAAAGAAAGAGAACATCAATAAGGAAAGAAAAAGTAATAAAAATTGACATTTGAAGAAGAATCCAGAATAGCTTTCAGGGCTATCAAATGCTCACAAGAATCAGAGTCATGGCTGAAATTCTTAGTAATCTATCAGTGGGAACCAGACAAACAAGTGCTAAAGAAATTTTAAAAGGCTCAGCAAAATGGGACTATAGATGCTAGAGTATTATGGAAGAAACGACTGCACTACTAAAGATATATATGAACTGGATTTCACTTTTTAGGCTGTGACAAGGAGGGTCAAAAAATTGACACGAACTGCTCACAAGAAGCAGTAAATCATTTTGAGAAAAGGTCAGTGGAGTTCTCAGCTTATTAAAATTCCTTGAAATTGTAGATATGAATCAGATTGGAACTCAGCTGAAGTTTATTACTATAGTGTGTTAACCCAAATATTAATTTTTTAACCCAAGATCTCTAAAATACACAGCAAATACCCAAATACCTGAATGTTTGGGTGAAATTTCTAAACATTTCACACAATTTCCCAGTTCATTTCTTCTAGTAATTCGTCCCCTTAGGATTTACCCACCAGGTGTTTTTGCCCTGCTCTCTAAATTTTCTTTTTGCACAGTTTCAACACTTTTGTTCTTCCATTTTTTATAATAGCATTTCTGGAAATCCTCTGTTCCCCCCCCCCGCATGCATGTTTGCCTTTTTACAGTCCTTCCACCACTTTATTAATTGTGCTTTATGCTCTTTACTATTTGTGTGCTAGTATGTCCTTTACATTATGAATCAGAACTAGCATTTTTTCAGCATTTAGTTTAGATATTCACACTATTTTTTGCCCATAACCTTAGATCAACATATGCTCAATTCACTCAATGCCGATACATTATTCTGGATGTGGTAACCTTCAATTTTTATAGACAATTCATCTAGAAAAGTCACCAAATTTAAGTCCATTAATTTTGAAATTAGTCTAAACAGAAGATTATTGCCATTTCTAAGAAATTATAACTTTTATTTTAATTTCATTATTTAATTTTAATTTTTTAGGCTCAACTGTGTATCACCAACTGAAGATTAATCTCGGAGAATATTTTCAACCTATAATGCATTTTGAAGTTTTGTACAGATATAAATTCATGAAAAGGCCAAGAATTAATTTGCATACCTAACAAACACACACACAAAAGGTATATATATTACTATGCACGAGTGATAGAAATTATTTAGAAATTAGTGTGATAGTCAACATTATGAATTCATTGCATGAACAGGAAAAATATGCAAATATTAATATTGCATATCACAACAAGTTTTATCAACAGCATCATATTTGTTCATTCTAAAAACAACATTAAAAACTTTTCAAAAACTTATTTTTAGATGATAAACCACACTCAATGCTAGTGTAAAATCATATATGGTAAATGGCAAGAAAATTATCAAGTTCCTACTCAAAGAAATAAAAATTTATTAAAAAAGAAAGTTGGAGCTGGAATTATATGACTACAACAGCACACTAAAAACTGAAATTTTGGAATAAAAAAAGCTATTGAAAAAATTAGCAGTTTTGTTACTAAATATCAAGCATGAAAATAACATTATCTTATGAGACAGTTTTTTTGTAAATTGCTCTAAATATTCACCTGATATCCCAGAGATAAATAAAAGTATCTATAGAGGCTGTGGCTAGAACATGGCTGTCGAAAATGGACCAGTTTAGATCACTGAACTGAAAAGTTAACATTAATAAATTTAATGCACATAGTATAACTCATACTAAAATTTTAAATAAATAGTCATTTTAAAGGTATTAATTTATAAAAAAACTCAACCTAATGGCACGAGTGTGAGATTTCAGAGAGGTAGTCTGAGTGAAGTCTGCTTTACCCCAAGAATACAGTTCAGCTCTCTGATTACACTACAAGAAATTCAGGAATCATATAATTAGTAGAGTAATTAAAATGTAATCTGCCAGTTTTCCAGGATTTATACACATTTTTGCACATGGAAGTTAAGTAATTTTAAGGACCATCAATGAAAAAAATTAAGGACCTATCAGGAAATGAGAACTGAATAAAATTAAAGCAATATTATGTGCCCAAACTACTTTTATCGTACTATTCTAAGAATAAAACAAATCCATAAGTAGGCCACACATTATTATTAAACAAAATCTAATATTTAACATAATTATAAAACAAATTCGACAATAAAATCAACTTTGTAAAACTTACCAAGTAATTAGCATTAAGTTACAAAATTTCCTGAAACATTTATAGTTTACATTTATAATAGACCCACATTTTAATGAGTATTTGTTGCACTTTTATTTATGCTTTACTAATACTTAGCTTTATGTTGAGTCTTCGTTTATGCCTCATTTTGTTCTGTACTTACTCAGTCCAGAGGTTTAGTAACTAGCAGGAATATTTTATATCAAGCAGCACAGGCTAAAATGAGAAATAAAATCATAATTGGTATGATTCGTAACAGGAGCCTGAGTACTTCACCACTGCTGCTTGCCTAGAGAGAGACAGAGACCTGGTGAACAGAAAAGATCTGAATGCTTCACAACATGGTCGATAAGCATTGAAAGATATTTGTTCCTCTGAACCAGTTAGTGTCACAGCTTTGCATAAAGTTACTGGAGTTGTAATCCACTTAATATACTGTAGGGTTTCAATTAGCCATTAAAACACCAGAGGTTAAGCTGCCATTATGCAGTTTAAAATAAACAATAATTACATAATATAATTTATGACACTGATTCTAAAATGATATTAAGATAATTATTCATTAAAAGTTACAAAACATTGAAACCAATGTTCTCACTAGTCTTCATTTCTTAAATGTACCTTTTTTATTATTTAAATTATTTTTCTTTTATGTAATCAATTCTTCCTGAATAAGTTTCCTCTTCATTTAGGAATTTTCAGATTTAATGAAAAATTTCTATTATTCTTAACCCCCCCCCAAAAAAAAATATCTATATGTATTTAGAATATATAGAAGAAACTTCTGGTTTTATTTCTTTAGTAATATGAGTATTGAGAACAAATATGAAATGATATATGGTCAGGGACAATGCTAGAGAAAATGTGGCAGAATTTTTGCAATTTAGTGAAGCACCGAGCAACACAATCTATGGATGGCAAAATTTTAGCACAGGCACTGGGCAGAAAAATTTAGGACCCACAGAGATTGTATCAGGTGAGCACTATCCCTATGTGTGGTGCACTGAGACACACAAAATTAATTTTTTAAACTGTCAGTTAAAATTAAAAAAAAATTCTTTCTACACATGCCAGTCCATGTGACAACATTAGAAAACTTTTTGAAATTTTCTGTGCTTGTGTCTAGTGAAATGAAGAGAAAGTAAAGGGATGATACACATGTTAAGAAGGACATGTTTAGGATCAAGAATAGAAAATTCAAATAATTATGTTACTATTGTTCTTTCAAAAATTCTCTAAAAAATAAATTCATCACAAACTTTCTGCAAAGTACTTCTATTACATGTCAATACCATGAAGAAATTTTTCATTTTGTCACATTATTCTGGAACCGTAGGTCTATAAATCTAGCCATCATATTCTTCTAAACCTTTAGAGATGCAAGGTTGAAAATAAGAAAGAAAAATTACCCCTGCCAATTCTAAGAACAAAGACAAATGGTTTTGAAAAAGTTCACAGAAGAAAATTTTGTGTGAAGTGAATTTTATAGAGAAAACTGATACATATTTGAATATTCTGAGTAAATTACATGAGAAAAAATTCTTACTGGAAGAAATATAAAATACACAAAATGATACTAAATTTTAACTAATTACAATAGCTTATTTGCTTTGGTTAGTCTATATTTTCTTGTGCACCTTGGATTATCACCAAACTGTTTTTCATTTATGGTAACTTGAGTAGTTGAATGTTATGGAAACCATATTATGACATGATTGGTTGCATGATTTCAGTGAATTTGACCGATGAGAAAATATTTGTAAGAGCTTATTTTTGCACTGGATGTCAGTTAGGAAGTACGTTACTTATTTTGTGATTTACACCATAAAATGGCTGCCGGTAATAAGAATAACCTGAAGTTCTATTTGATTTGGAACAAATGGAAAAGAAAGCATTGATTGACTGGTGCATAAATGAATGTTTAATTATAATTCAATGGAATATTACCTGAAAAAATGATCACATTCGATTGCTGGAAGTCGTACAATTGTTTTTTTGATAATGGCTTCGTTCGCCTCTCAGTAAATTCAGCGGTGTCATTTAAGGATTCAGAAACCAGAGTTCATATCAACTAAACTGGAGCTCATAACAACAAACAACAAGGTATGTGGGGTGTAATAATAAGGGATTTTCAAAAGAAATGCCACTGACAATCCGGCACTACGGAGCATATTTTTGATTCTTATGTTTGTGAATTTATGTGGCAATGGAAGTACAGTACAAAGTCCGTAATACGGACTCGTTGGGACTTCGGCAATTCCGGATTATAGATCATCAATTTAAACTGGTAAGATGGCATGCAGAAATTATACAATTAAAAATATGAAACCGCAATTTATGAAATAAAGAGCAATTATGATCTAAAGGGTATCAAATTTTACAAAAAAAAAAAAAAAAAAAAAAAAAAAAAAAACTTAATATTTATTTGTTTATTAAACATTTCTTTCAATGCGTGCATGCGTAAAGCCTACATTAAGCACATGCGCAAAGCATACATTGCACACATACGTAAAGCATACAAAAAAGAGGTTGCGGCTTTGAGGTCCGGATTATAGATCATTCCGGATAATGTACGTCCGGATTATGGACTTTGTACTGTATACAGATTCTACTTCAGATAATTTAAACAGTCTTTGAATGCTGATAAGGAATTCTGTGTGCTACACACAGAAGACACAAATTTCTAAATAATGTAAGTCGATATTTACTTTTTTATACTGCGCTCATTAGATATTGTGTATTTCAATTTTTATGTTATTTATTTGTTTTATTTTAATTTAAAATGTAGTTTATTGAGATTATAATTTTTTATATTATGTTTTATTGCATTATGTTTTGGATGCCATTTTACTTGGGAGGGCGTTGCATGTAAACAAGAATGGCATAAAAAAGTTACCAATTTTTGCCAAGGGGTACCCTGAAATATATTTTTCCAAACTGGAAAAATATAAAGGTACTTATGAATTATCCTGTTGACTGTGAATAATTGAATAACATTGCACCACGAAAGCTGGCACAGATCTTGCCACAGTGGCACTAGTAATTCCTGCCAAATTCTAAGGGACCCAATGCTTCTTTATTGTGCTTTGTAAAAAGGCCTTCATCAATTACTACTATTATGTTAGGCCCTCTGATTTTATTCCAGCAGATAATTGTTCCAAATCTATTAGTGTTTTGTTGGCCATATTCAGCTTTTAATGTCAGTTACCATGTTATATCTATTAATACACACTCCTTTTCAATTCATAACTTTAAAAATAATTCACTGCTTGCTGTTCTGCAAAGAGAAAATACCAAACTTTTAACTTTTTTTTTTTTTTTTTCAAAATGCAAGAAAATATACAATAATAACAAATAATTTATAACCTAGCTTGTAAAAATGAACGGTGGCTTATTGAGAATTAACAGAGGTTACATAAACAATAGTGCAGAAGTTTCAAGGGTGTTGTTACAAAACACTTGCCCATAAATGGAACCAAATCATGCTGTTTGGCAACAGTTTCACAATTGATGGGATAAAATGTAAGTACCAATACAAATTATCTTTCATTACTTAAAATGAATATTTTTCCCTTGAATTTCAACCAGAAAAAACTTTTTTTACTTGTACCAACTATTTGTGTTTTACTCATTTTCAACAATTCTTGTCATTTTGGGGTTGTGAAAAATTACTTGTTTATCTCCTTTATCTTCACATTAATCCAGGCTATCCTCAGATTCATTTATGATTCAGTATATAACTGAAGGCATATTTTGTTTTAGAAATATTATACAAAAAACAAAAGAATATTTAAAAGGAAAAGGAATGCTATTCAGAAGATATTGTGGTCTCTCAGAAAAAAATTAATACTGGATCAAGGAGAAAGAAAAGATATTTTAAGTTTCATTGTACATAAATTATTTTAAGGTGCTAAAATTAATGTATCAATAAAGAACTTACTGATTTTAAATAATTTAAATTTCGGAAATTAGTAGTATTTCACTTTTCTCTAAATGTTACAGCAATTAAAAGTTAAAGCAGATTATTCAGCTAGTTTACATTACTCTAGAAGAATGCTTGGGTAATCTTTGGAATATGGTAACAGGTAGTTTGGCGACATTTTGGTAAGGCGATAAAAGTTCCTAGCTAGGACTTTAGTAGTGTACATGGATAAAGTCAAGACTATGCGCAATGCCATTTTTGTGCAATTCTGGGATGTTTTTTTAAGTGAAAATAGGTTGACGTGTACATGGATGATACCGTGTATGTGCAATTCTTAAAAACGCGGCAAGCAGTTTGTGATTCTGCACTTTCTTCCAATTTCGCACCTAATCTTCGTCATGATTAAGCATTTTTGTTCCATAAAAGTTCTAATATAAGCGTAATTCGGCTAGCAGATTGTTGGAAAAAATGTTGAGTAAAAAAAAAAAAAAAAAAAAAACACGCCTTTACTTCGTGAAAACAAAAACTAGCAGGTTGCTGTAGCAGGGTTGGTTGCCAAATTTTCGCCAAGTTACCATATTCCAAAGATTAACCGAATCCTTTGCCTCAATGTTTATCTGCACATAAAAATACAAATTACAGAAAAATTTTACATTTAATATGTAAATCTGAGGTGAGTAAATTATTCAGTGGTACTGTACATGTAAATAAATTTCAATTTGACTTTATTTAAAAATAAATTATCGCTAATTTTATTGAAAACAGCTGATGTACATAATAACAACTGTAATTACTTACATATTAATTTCATGTATATATTTAAAGTGATGGAATTAATTTTTAGAATTATGATACAGCGAAAGGCAGGGAGAGAAACAATACGAGCTTACTGCTAAAGCAAAACATTCGTTTTGATGCGGACTCCATTCAGCTGTTGTCACATCCCATTTGCTATGTCTATTGGTTTTGTGTATAACAACATTCGGTTGATCTAGATGCACAATGCCCATATGTCGTCGCCTACGAACATAACAAAAACAATCATCAATGATTTTCCTAATCAGATATAATTACAGTTAAAAAGCAAATATGTATATGCAAATAGTTTACCCGGCTAAGACAACATATTGACCTAAACTGTCCACAGCCATTGTATTCGCCTAATAAAAAAGAAATTAATTTAACGTTTTCTGATAACTACATGATAAGCACACTTTAATTTATACCCCAGACAATACTTTCACCTGTAAATCTCTGTGATCTGCAACAACATTATCGGTTCCCCAAATTGTGGCCATGTTCTTCATAATTTCAGTTTCTGAAATATCAGAGGATGTTATTGTAACAGTATTTACAAATCATCACACTTTTATCGATCAAAACACAGAGAGATTAGATGTTTTGCACCTGTTAAATCTTTCTATCGCACCGAGTGTGGAAAAATTGTATCTTTCAAATAGGCCGATGCTATTCGCACCAACATTAACCCCGCATGCGCATTGAGTTGTCAGATCCGTCAATTTAACCACATCGAATGGAACGGATTCTACGTACTCGAACGTAGAATGTATGTATAGTGAATCTTTTTTTAAAAACCGTAATGGCTAATCGCACCGACGGTGCGAATAGCTAACAGGCTATTCACACCACCTACGTTTGCGCATGGCGCACAAGCAGCCCAGGTACCAGCATTTTACGCCGATTTCCGTTAAGGCAGGCGGTAGTGAGAGCGAAGGTTGTAACCCTAACTCAGCAATTTTAAAGGGTTGTTAATAGTTCACCAGCAAGAGAATAATTTGCAAGTAATAATTATCAGTTACAAAGACGAAGGTCAATCTATACATGAATGAATCAATGTTCAGGAAATGATTAGATAAAATAGGGATTTAATGATGGTTCTAATTGCAAGCGAGGACAATAATTAGTTAAAAAATCTTTAAGTGTATTGACAAAAAGGCTACAGAAATTACTTAAATTCGTTTATTTAACAGAGGAATTTTGATGCAAACTTAGACCCTATTCTTATAGCATAGGAATGTCAATTTATTATTCAATAAGAAAACTTACCGAAAATGATAATATTCTTATATATTGATCACTTTTTCAGTATCCACACATGTTTATAGTTTGAAATGCCATATTTCAAAATCAAAGTTACTTATGAAATAAAACCTTACAAAATCTGATAAATCATTTGTGTGTGCAAATTTTTAAATCTAAATCTCTTACATTAAATTATTTCTGTCTTTTAAATTACATCCCATTATTTATTTCAATTTAATTGATTAATGTGTTTGTACTAATATTTCAAAGTTCTTTGAAGCACTTTTTGTGTCCTGAAAATGCCAAGTATTTCCATAAAAAAATAAGCAGGCATACAGAATAATTCATTTAATAGTTCATATAATCGCTTTTAACTTATTTCATGTCTAAATTTTCTACACAGAAATCCTCTGTCTAATTTTTAGTACCTTTTATCGGACGAAATTTTTCAAAGAGGAATGAATTAAAAGCTTGATTGCGCAAAACACATCTTTAAAGCTAAATGTATTCTAAGAAGTACAAAAAATGTCAACACGATTTTGCCCCCCCTTCAAATCAGTCATTTAAACTATTCAAACCGTTCAGGAAAAGGATAACCATTGCGAACATAAAAATCTGCCCTTTTTTATATATACTTTAATAAAGGAAATGTGTTCCTTCTTTTTATAAGAAAGGAATCCATTTTCCTCTAAACTTTTGAAAGTCGCCAACGCTTAAAAAATGATAAATTACGCCAAGGTAGAAACCCGCCTTTGACAACTCGATGCGCATGCGTGGTTAATGTTGGTGCGAATAGCTTAAGCGGCTAGTCGCACCCGTGGTGCAAATAGCATCGGCCTTTAAAAACAGGCGGATTTCTACCTTGGCGTAGTTAATCATTTTTTAAGCGTTGGCGACTTTCAAAAGTTTAGAAAGGAAAATGGGTTCCTTTTCTTAAAAAAAGAAGGAACACATTTCCTTTTATTAAAGTATACATAAAAAAAGGGCAGATTTTTATGTTCGCAACGTTTATTGCCTTTTCCTGAACGGTTTGAATAGTTTAAATGATCTGCTTTTGGGGTAGGGGGACAAAATCTTGTTTACATTTTTTGTACTTCTTAGAATACATTTAGCTTTAAAGATGTGTTTCGCGCAATCAAGATTTTAATTCATTCCTCTTTGAAAAATTTTCGTCCGATAAAAGATACTAAAATTAGACAGAGGATTTCTGTGTAGAAAAATTTAGACATGAAATAAGTTCAAAAGCGGTTATATCAACTATTAAATGAATTATTCTGTGCCTGCTTATTTTTCTTTTATGGAAATACTTGGCATTTTCAGGACACAGAAAAGTGCTTCAAAGAACTTTGAAATATTAGTACAAACACATTAATCAATTAAATTGAAATAAATAATGGGATGTAATTTAAAAGACAGAAATAATTGAATGTAAGAGATTTAGATTTAAAAATTTGCACACACAAATGATTTATCAGATTTTGTAAGGTTTCATTTCATAAATAACTTTGATTTTGAAATATGGCATTTCAAACTATAAACCTGTGTGGATACTGAAAAAGTGATCAATATATAAGAATATTGTCATTTTCAGTAAGTTTTCTTATTGAATAATAAATTCTGACATTCCTATGCTATAAGAATAGTGTCTAAGTTTGCATAAAAATTCCTCTGTTAAATAAAAGAATTAAAGTAATTTTTGTAGCCTTTTTGTCAATACCTTAAAGATTTTTCAACTAATTACTCGTCCTCGCTTGCAATTAGAACCATCATTAAATCCCTATTTTATCTGATCATTTCCTGAACATTATCATGTATATAGACTGATCTCGTCTTTGTAACTGATAATTATCACTTTCAAATTATTCTCCTGATGGTGAACTATTAACATCATTCTCTCACTACCGCTTATCTTACGGAAATCGGCGTAAAATGCTGGTGCCTGGGCTGATTGTGCGTATGCGCGAACATAGGTGGTGTGAATAGCCTGTTAGCTATTCGCACCGTCGATGTGATTAGCCATTGCGCTTTCAAATAATTACAAACGTAAGTTATTATTTTGTTTATATTTTATTTTAATCTTTGAATAATGCGTGCTGAATTTCATTTTTGACGTGTTTGTAATTGCGTGATTTTTTAGTAGTTAGGTTCTGGCAACAGTAAAGTATTCTAAGTCTGTTCTATTCTTTTTAATTTTAAGAGTAATTTATGCTGTGTTTTTGAGTTATAGTGGCGGCCAAAATTGTGGACACTTTTGAAAATTTTTATGTTTTTGAACTTTGTATGCTTATAGAAAACGTTACGTTTCACAAAATGCAAACTTGTATATATCATTTTAAAGAGAATTTATTACTGAATTCAAACAAAACACAAAATTCAATGGCCAGATGCCGTACAGTCAGAGACCGTGTATAACAAACACATCGTATTTCAAAATGATTTCAGGATTAAATACCGCATTAACTGTCGTCTTACTAAGTTTATATTTTCAGAAATAAATAAAATAAAAATAAAGTTTCCAAGCTTTCAGACTACGGAATGTTGGACATTCAGTAAAATTAACAAGATGTGAACCACACAGAAAAAAAAATTCGTCAAACAAAAATAATTCTTGAAACTATTAGCCTTACCCAATATAAGATTAATTGAAGATTCTAGGATCGCATACAAAACAAAAGAAAATTTCGAAGAAACCTTAACAAATTTTCATATTTGTTAATGTTTTTAAATTTGTTAAGGGTTTTAGCTGCACCTGTTAAGGTTTGAAATTCTTATATCTAAAATATACCTTTCATGCAAGCAAAATTTTACATTAAAGTCTCAAATTCTTTTTGCAAAAATGGTAAAATTCATAAATTTGTGCGCAATGAAATTCAATCTTTATATTGAACCCTACATTAGTGCTTCTCACTACTCTTTTTTTTTTTTTTTTTTTTTTTTTTTTTTTTGATGAAAATGATTTTAAACTCGTTCTGTTTCAGCAAGTTTTTGAAGGTTAGTTTAAATATTATGGATATATTTTATTTTTTTAAGATACATTTAGTAGGGTACTGAACAATTTACTATTTCAATTTATATATATATTTATGTGTATTCGTTTGCGTGTGTCTTTATACCGGTTTTATAAGTATAAACTTTCAGGAGTGATAGATACACCTAAACGAAGGAAAATCACACAGAATTGCAGCGTCGGAAACGCTTTCCTACGACGGTAGTGACGACACAAAAGTCAAGAAAGAAAGGACACGAGCAAGGTGAGAAAACATGCTAATTGTTCGAAGCACAGCAAACACAAAGAGAAAAATAACATAAAAAGACCGCGATCGTCATCAAAGAAGGTATTCGAAATTGTGCAGGAAACGTGCGTCATGCATCTTCCATGCGATCTTCCAATCCTGATGCAGATCTTCCATGTGCAGTGAGACTTGCATCACGGTCCGGGGTCGTAATTTCGAGCATCTTCTTTAATGATGATTGTTGTTGGTTTTTGTTCTTATTATGCTGTACTAAACATAATAAAACTCGTTTTGTCTCACTGTTCGTGTCCTTCCTTTTTTGCGTTTTGTGTAGTCACTATCGCGCCAGGAAAGCGTTTCCGACCGTACATTGCTGTGTGATTTCCCATCGTCTAGGGGTACTCAATTTCTCTTCAACGTTTGTCATCACTGTACTGATATACCCTGTATATATATATATATATAAATTGTCACATAACTTCTATACTTGTACACACAACAAAATTTCATAGATATATATATATAATATATTATCACACACACGCATATATATACATATTAAACTTAAAGCATATATATTAAAGTTAATATTAAACTGGAATCAAAGCAAGGCAAGTCCTCAACAGTATTAATAATTGCAACCGTGCATAAGAGTTAAAGACAATAGCTAAAATTTTCAAAGCGAATTTTTGCATTCGATTATTTCAATTGTCTTTAACTGAGCTAAGGTATAAACGTAAAGATGACGCTAACGTACTTTACAGTTAGTCTTTTTTTGGAAAGGAAAATTAAAATCCTGAAAATTGATCAATATTAAAAAGGGGGGAAAACTTGCAAATTTATCAATCGAAAAACGATGAAAAACCCTTAAAAGGAAACTGGAACAAAAACGCTGAAAGCTGCTAATGGTAGTAAGGACAAAAGAAACATAATAATAGGCCAAAAATGTTTTAAAAAATTTAAATCCGTCCTGTGTGATTGAAGTGAAATAGTTATCTAAAATTAATATTAAAATGGAATCAAAGCAAGGCAATTTCTTAACAATGCTAATAATTGCAACCGTGTATAAGAGGTTAAACACAATATCTAAACAAATTTTTGAAACGAATTGTTACATTCGATTATTATATATGCGCTGCAGCGCACGTAGTCGAGGTTTCCTACTGCATCATTCTAATGGAAACTTCCAAACTTCTTCTAAACCA